AACTCACCTCACACTGTTGAAGCCCACTGCAAGAAATCTTTAGCTGCTGTCCTGGCAACTCTTCGAGCTATCAATACCAAAATATCACCCAATTAGCAATTGGGTCCTAACCCATGATCCATAATCCATACTTGGGGTAAAATGACCATTTTACCCCTAGCCCAACAAGATTCATAACTAAGGCCCAATACCAAAACCAACAAGCCCAAAACTCCAAAATCCATAAAAGCCCATTAATGGCCCAATTTTCCAAATTGGGCCTAAACCCTTACATGGGTCTTTCCCTAAAGCCCATTTACTTTTCTGAACCAAAACACATAATCATAACTAGCCCAACAAAGTGCATGCACTTACAAGCGCATAAGAAAGCCCAAAAACGAAATGGCCCATAAGGCCCAAATCCATCATGGACCTAACCCGAGAAGGCCCAATATCCAAAAAGGCCTGAAATACTGAATGGTCAACCCTAATCAACTCTTGGTCCATGGTCCAAGGCCCAAAAGGTCAACACAACGAGATGAGTCAACCAGGCCGAGTACACCCTGCGTACTCATCTTGTATGCTAAGTGTACAACTGTTGGGGCCAGTATGTGCCGCGTACGAGGTGGGTACGCCCAGCGTACTCCCATGGACTCCAAAATTCTCCAATAAGCACTTAATCACTTCAGCCATTGCTCCAACTCTCCAATCTGACTTCTAAAGGTGACTTTTCAAGTAAAGTTGGCAACTTTACTAACATGCATGGCTTAATGGGACTCTAGAGCTCAAAAGAGCTTAATGGATGGTCCTAATTCATGCTTGAACTCAAAAACTCCACAAAGCTTGCACCTTTATGAGAGAGGGAACCTTAGAACGTCCAGATCTACAAGATTGAGCCCCTAAAACGACCCTAGCTCACCTAGACCAAGCAAAAGGGACTAAAATGGCTAAAAACCCACCCAAAGTAGATTTATGAAATGAATAGCCAAGATAGAGACTTTATACCTTGAAAGTCACGAAATGGAGATGTTAACACTGGATCTCTAAGCTCTTCCATAGAAGTTGAGTCTTTCACCAACTTCTTCTTTTGTACAAACCACCAAAAGTCTTCTTTCAAGCTCCAAGCTTCACCCAAGGCACTCTAGGGTTTCATGAACGTCAAAAGGGGTGGTGGCTGACTTAAAATGACCTAAGAAGTGGTATAATGTTGCTTATATAGGGTAGGAACCCTGAATTTAGGGTTTTGGTCTGAAGTGAGTACACCCCGTGTACCCCTTTGTACGTCCGTCGTACTAATGAACCACCTGCGACCAATCACCTTATACGTTGGGCGTAGCCGGACTTACGCTGGGCATACCCAGCCAAGCACGTGCATGCATCCTTGCATGTATGGGACTGATCTGCCAAATATTTCCATTAAGGGCTAATCCTGCCAAAACCTTCAAAGTGCCATAACTCACTCATCCTAAGTCCGTTTCCAACGAACCTTATGTCCACGAAAAAGGTGGCGAGAAGCCCTACGCTCCTGGAAACACCCCCAAGCCTTAAAACCTTCTGTACAAAACCCAAAACCCCTAAAAGACCGTGATATCAATTTACAATCATACCCTTGGCTCCCGAAGACACAATCAGATACATGGATCACTTAGACCATGAAAACTACATCCGATATGGGCTAAATCCTTCCTTTCCCAAATCTCCTAACCCCATGACAACTGATGCTTGGGCCGCAGCCCCAAGCAGTAAGGCAAATCCGAAAATTGAGTGTTACAACTCTCTCCCACTTAAATTAGATTTCGTCCTCGAAGATTCTGCGCATAGGACAACCTTTCTAAGATTCTGCGCATAGGACAACCTTTCTAAGACAACTGAAACCCAAACCGAAACTTCCATCCCGAAGAAAATCAAACCCTGAGCCTTCGAAGGAAATCACTCCTACCTCTCTGAAACCGGAAATCCGCATCGGTCTGACTTCCTGACAGACCTGCCACCAAGCCATCCTCATAGAGTCTCGCATCACACAAATTGCTTCCAATCCCTAGTCACCTTGCTATCTCAAACGAAGCAAAATCACTGACCATATATCGCTACAGAACACTCATACTCGACAGAAGGCTCAGATAATCCTTCGAGTGAGATTCATCCCTGCAACAGTTAGACTCAGACGAGAGCTGCGCAACAGGGTCAAATCATTTACTATGAGATTATTTAATCCCGATGTGAGTGACTTAGCATTACCCAATCAATCAGTTACGCATCCGTACATGAAATCCTAAAACACTAATATTGCTATGCTAACTACCAACCTAGTGAATGCTATGGCTACCCCCGCAGTCTTACAACACCCCATCACTATCTACCAACCATGGTCCTACTACCAATCCAACTATAGCCACCCTGAGTCGAACACGCACCATACTATGCTCGCAATCAGGTGTTTGGGTTAGGTTTCAAACCCCAAAACTTTTATCAGACAAGAATAGGCAGCGAGGCTCTAACACAACCGTCGACTTGATTCCATCCACAAAACTGTTATGCCTACCACGAATGCGTCGACCAGCTGTTGGAAGTTTCCTGAACTCCCACTTACACAACCGCAACCCTAACGGTCACCGGGGTCGTCTCTTCATGACCAGGATGTGGAATTTACTCAAGCTTCAAACCCGCTTCTGATCCTTAATACCTGTGTGATTCTCCCCCACTTAGATTCGACTAAGTCTTCATGGCACGTGAAAATTGAAGAATTCCCAATCCTTCTTACCCTCTAAAATCCAATTGTTGACAACCTATGCTTACCAAGGCTAGCGATCAATTACTAGTCAAACCCTAAGATCGCCTATCCTCTGATATCTTGAAGATTACTCTTGAAATTTGGTCCACTCCGATACCTCAATCCACCTTTCATGATACTATACCAACTCCTTGAGTTCCCATGTTGGCGACTAGAAGCCTTAACCTCTACTTTGGCTGACGAATCCTCGCAAAACCACTGAACTCTAATCGAACACAACCCATGCGAAAATACAATTCCCTTGGAACATCTAATGGTCAAACAACCCATGCAACTAACACCAGTATCTTTCTGCTATCGCCCCTCTCCTAGCAACGGTAGTGTTAGAACCCAAAAGTTCTCCCATAGGCCACCGGCGATCATACTAGAACATATGATGAAACCACTATACCCCAACGTTACATGAGAACTAGCCCGATGAAGCTAACCACATACCTTCCCCACAATACCCCTGAGTCGATCCCGACCGCAACCCAAAATTTCAACCAAACACTTGGAACCTGCTTATATAAGATACGACCCCTTACTAACCCACTAACGATTCATGGTATGCAAATGACATATAACACTTCATACTAATAAAACCCTGAAGAGAGCAACATATAATGTCCCCGCAATGTCGCCTGCTGGAGTCCTGACCTCCTCTGTATGACACGGCAAAGCCCGACTCCTCTCTGGTAGGGCTCCGACCCTCCCTTCTCGTTCATCCGTGATCCTCAAAGTAGTCGGAGCAGGCGCACTCACTGCTCTTCCCCTCAACATCGGATAGTCGGCCTTCTTGTGGCCCACCTGATCGCAGAGGAAACATGACGGGCTTGCCCCCTGAGGACAATCCTTGCTAACATAACCAAACCTGCCACACTTGTAGCCGCCCAAACCTCTGGAACAACAAGTCCCCTCGTGCAGTTTCCCTCACGTGCTGCACAGGTTCCGACCATGCTGACCTTTCATGCGATGGTCAGAAATCTTGGGTCTCTTCCCGGGACCCTCCAATGTCTGCACCTGATCTGACCCCCTCTTACTAATGTGCTCCAAATCCATCTCCCACTTACGGGCTCTAGAAATCATATCATTCAGGGTCTCGCACCCTGAAATACTCACGAACTCCCTGATATCATCCCACAGCATATCATGATTCCTCACTTTCTTCATCTACTCATCTGCGGTACCAAAGATACATAAAATTCAGAATTATACTCCAAAATAATTGCTAAAAAACTGAAATATTTCAGCTTTGATATCCCAACTTTGAAGTATTGTAATCCATTGAATATAATACGAAAAACAAAAAAAAATTATAGTCTAAAATCATCTAAAACTCTAAATTACACGTTGGAAAAAACTGTATGTTAATCCGACTTAAAACAAATGAGATATGTTTGTTTAACGAATTTCACAGAATACAAAAGTTTAAATTTTTGCTGAAAAGTTAAAATATTTCAACTTTGAAGTATTGTAATTCATTTAATATAACACCAAAAACAATAAAATTATAGTCTAAAATCATCTATAAACTCTAAATTACACGTTGAAAAAAAAACCGCATGTCAAGTCGACTTAAAGCGAATATGATATATTTGTTTAAAAAATTCACAAAAAATAGATTTGATTTTTTTGTTTTTAAATCAGGTCCAAACCCGGTTTTTACCTGGAACGGGCTGGACTGAATCGATAAAAAAAACAAAACCGGTATTGATCATATCCTAAAACCCGAGAACCGGTCCGAGAAAAAAAAATGATCCATGGTCGGATCGAAGGGTCCATATGCTCTCCCCAAGTCCCGTCCCTCGTGTATGATTCTCACAGAAACAAAAAGCCATATTGCCGCCGTTTTCTCCGGCCCCGGAAAAAACCCCAATGTCTCCGTTGTGCCCTTCTGGTGTTGCTATCGGAGTCTCGCCATCTCGGTTTCGGTGACTTGGTCTCTCCTTCTCAGCTGTTTTCGAGCCTCGCCTTTCGATCTCTTTTTTTGGGTATAAAGTTATTCATGATAAGTACCCCTTTTAGGTAATAATTATTACTACTAGGAGTAATTTTTTTTAGCATCTGTTAGATGCTAATTAATCGTAAAGGATTTGTGTTGCAACAAATTTTGTATCAATGACGATTTTTGCTAGGTTTTGTTAGTAGGATATATTATGTTAGTGTTTATCAATAACGTTTGTATTAATTTTCAATTGTTTTGGATCTGTCATCTCAGTATCTCACCAACATCAAAATCTAGAAAACAATGCCTCTGGTGGATGCATCCATGGAAAACTTACCGGTGGAAGTCATGGTCGATATTCTGTCAAGACTTCCTGTGAAGACAATCATCCAATGCAAGTGTGTATGCAAGAAGTGGCTGGATCTCGTTTCCGACTCTTACTTTGCTGATTTTCAGCTATCTAGATCACCTGCAGGCATCATGATTTATCATGATTCCGATCACAACAAAGAAAATACAGGTTACCATAAATCGGGCATTTGGGTTGAGGTTGAAGACAAACCCGATCACCACAATTTACCCCACAACCGTGTCATGAGCCTTGATCTTAATCTTCCAGGCATAATACACCCAGTGGGCTCACTCAACGGTTTAATCTGCCTGTGGCAGTATAATCGTAAAACTAGTAACACTTACATTTGCAATCCAATCACCAGAGAATATATGATCCTCCCAAAGCAAAAATACCATAGAAAAGAAATTTATGCGGATGTCACTTATGGTTTTGGAGTTAGTTCTGTGGCACGTGAATACAAAGTGATACGGATTCTCCAAAAGTCTCTATCTCCAGCCGAGGTTTACACCCTTGGCACAGGTCAATGGAGAAGTCTCGGTCATGTCCCTTACTGGTTTACTGGACGATGTGGACAATTTCTAAATGGGCATGCTCATTGGACTATTCGTGACCAGGATTCCTCTAAAAAGATTTGTGCTTTAGATTTCGACAAGGAGACATTTGAGTTGTTCCCATCTCCTCCCCCTGAAGAAGCTTTTATCTACTTTGATTGTTTGGGAGTTGTAAGGGGCTGTTTATGTCGATGTGACACTTACTATTCTAAATTCACGGTGTGGGTGATGAAGGAATATGGGGTGAAGAAATCTTGGCATAAAGAGTTTGTGATCGAGAGATGTATGGACCCTAATCTTGATTTGCTTCGGGTGGAACCTTTGTATCCAATTGAGGGTTTTGAAGATGGAACTATTTTGATGGCATCTTATCAAAATAAAGTTTTTGTTTACTGTCCTCAGAGGAAAACAATTGTAGATAGGGAAGTATTTGGCGGCTACTTCTACGGATTGTCTTATCATCCTAGCTTTCTCAGACTACACAACTTTGAAAACGGAAGAGTTCAATTGTTTTGAAGGTCATAACAAGCTCTGTAATGGACATCCATTCTCATTTTTGTGTCTAAAAGTCCTTTTGAGTCCAATATCTTACTATTGCTTTCCACAATTATATTTAATGATTTCCTATGGGTTAATATTTTCGTCTAAAAGTTGAGAGATGTTTTAAAATAGAATAAAAATATCAAAGATACTTGTTAAGAGTTCTCAATAAGCTGCTGTGGTGAACAAATAGGACAAAACAAGAAAGAAAGAGGTAAACAAATGTAAGAGCAGGGGAAAAAAGTAAAGATTCAAAGCCAAACATTTACCTCCAATCCGATTATCTGTCCCACACAAATGATATTATTTGAATTACCGAATAAGACCTTCAAACCATCAAACTCATCAAGTCACAAACACCGCTTGCCTCTTTGTTTGATAGAAATGACCGACTGAAAATTTTGAGTTGTTACCATTTCCTTCGGTTGAGACTGATTGTTGTTTGATAGAAATGTCCATAAAATTATAAGCTTTGCACTCTTTAATTGTTGTCTGTGTCAGTCTGAAATAGTTGATTGGCCATTCACGATTTGGGTGATGAAGGAATTTGGGATTAAGAAATCTTGGCATAAAGGGTGACAATCAAGCACGGTATTAACCGTTGGTTAGATGGGTTAATCTAGGATCATGTGTATCTAGTTGAGGACCTAAATGATGGAACAATTTTCATAGTTTGTTATCAAGACAAATTAATGTTAGCATATTGTTCTCATAAGAGAAGAATTGTTGACTCAAATTGTGTTAAGTATAGGGTTTTATGCACAATGTAATGATCTGACACATTTTCCATCAACAACAGGTTTTATGTTCGTAATTCAACAAATTCAATCAAACTAGTAGATTTGAGCCATTAATTAAACAACTTCAACCCGATAGATTCGAGCCATTAATTAAACAACTTCAACCCGATAGATTCGAGCCATTAATTAAACAACAACCCAAGACTTCTCTCCAAAGTGATTGTTTTGGTCATAAAGAGTTGCAGTACTTGCAACTTTGTACAACATATTGTATTCCAACCGTTCAAGCACATTCAAGTTATTATGATAATCTTCAAATGTAGGTGGTTCAGATACAAGTTTTCGTTTTTAGAGACCTCCATCGATATTTTTAGAAGCAACCAACCGTGTATTAAGGAAAAAAGAAAACAAACTAGCAAAACACTAGCACAAAAAAATTACAACGGGCTCACGGGTTTTTTCAACCAATTAAGCATATCTATATTACATTTCCTATTTCTATTAGAAAACCAAATAAATGATAATTGACTAATAGAATCGACAATGTTGTTTTGTTTCAAAGTGCCTCTAATAAAACTGTTGTTTCTAAATCTCCAAATATACCAAATAGTAGCACACACCACCGAATCAACCAAAGTTTTCTTATTTACTGAGATAGGTAGTTGATTGTCTAACACAAAGAAATCAAGGATCAGTCCAAATTGAAATTGAGAAACATCCAACCATTTGAGTCGCATTCTAAATCCTTGCAGCAACCTCACATTTAAGAAACAGATGATCTAATTGCTCAACCTCTAAATTGCATAAAGGGCACACAATGGAAAGGACATCCAATCCAAATTGTGATAGATTGAAAGATGTCTGAATTCTAACCCTCAAAACACACCAAATTAAAATATTAACTTTCTTTGGAATACACAGATTCCATCTAGTTACCAAACCTAAATTATGATGGATAATCTCATATATCCATCTTCTAGCAGTACTAACCGTGAATATGTTGTCATCATTAATCCTCCAAATCCATCTATCACTCATATCATTAAAAGTAACCTCCCTTAAACAATAAAGTTACCCCATGTATTGTATCAACTATTGTCCCCTTCGAATTGGATGTCTCTACTTCCAAAACCAACCACCATCATTCCTACGACCGATAATAGTACACCCTTTATCGATACCAAGCTGAAAAAGTCTAGGAAAACATGTGGTTAGATTATTATCGCCCACCCAAACTTTCTTCCAAAATAAAATATCCATGCCATTGCCAACTTTCCTTTGCAAAACCGATTCCACCAAGGCGAGAATTTGAGGCTACAATTCTCACCTAAGGGCCACCACCAAGACGGTTATACGAACTTTGATCAAAACCGTCACTTTCACCATATAAATGTTTAATCACTTGAAACAAACCATATTTTCTTCGGTATTAAACCACCAACACAATTTCTAAAGCAAAGAAAAATTAAGCGCAACCAAACTACCAATATCCAAACCACCATGTTTCTTATCCGCCAACACTTGCTCCCAATTAATCCAAGCTAATTTTTTATTACCCTTAGTAGCACCCCAAAAGAATTGCCTACGTGAAGATTCCAAATTCTTACCTACTTCCATCGATATTAAGAACATAGACATATTGTAACACCCTGTTTCGAATCATTTCCTAATTCGGGGCCGTGACCCGAAGATCAATTATCATAAGGCTATGAGCCTTGGGGAAGGAGATATTTAGACCCCTTGGATGTGGATAATGTAGATTAGGTGATCCGGGAGTTTGGTTTGTGTTGTGGAGCCCAATGGTGTAACCGTAGAGTGATAGTTCGGGCATTTTATGAATTTTGGAATTAAGCTCGAGAAGTTTTAAGGCAAAGGAGAGTTGATAGAATTGTAGAGCTTTTCATTACCTTTCCATGGATATTAAGGACATCGAAATCGGACTTAGAACGAGGAAGTTATGGCCTTCGAAAGATTAATGGTTTTAGTCCCTAGCCGAGTACGTTGGGCGTATTGGCTTGATATCTGGATCACGGAGGCACCCACGTACGCAGGGCATACGACCAGCAGGGGAAAACCCTAATTTTTAGGGTTTGTGCCTTATTTAAACACCTTAAGTTGCTCCTAGACTCTCTTATGGTCAGCCTCCATTTCTCCAAACCCTAAGAACGAAACCCTAATCTTCATTGAGTGTTTGTGAGCCTTTATGTGATTTTTTTGGTGTTTTTGTGCCCCTTGAAGGAAGTAAAGCTTGGTGGTGAGGCTTTGGTGGACTTGGAGCTTGAAGATACAGGATCTTCATCAACTTTGCAAGCTATTTTAGGTATAAAGCTCCTAACTTGATGGTTCCTTATGTTAGATCTAGTTTAGGGCTTTATTTGTGCATTTTTGGGTTCTTTGAGCCTTGTTTGGGAGTATGGGCTACTCCAGCAGCTTGGGATGATAGATCCAGGCTATTCTGAGGTCCCTTGTACATAAAAATGATAACTTGATGGGTATAGCTCAACCATGCAAGGTTGATGTCCTTTTTATTGGAGTTAAGATGCTAGAATTGGACTTTGGGGTGTTTTTAGCCATGCAAAGGCTTAAAGTCTTCGACTTTATGGTTTAGGACCTTAATATGATGTTAGTTTGAGGATTGGATGTTAAGTTATTAAGTGGTTAAGACTTTTGATCAAGGATTTGGAATCAGGCCAGTACGCGAGGCGTACTCCTTAGTACGTTGGGCATACTGTGTGCGGGCCCCGTCTCTGGATCAATCACGTACGTAGGGCGTACGAGCATGGTACGACGGGTGTATGCTAATCACTGGTCCGATGGAGTTTGTGGGCTTGGTTTATTTGGGTTTTGTTTTGATTGGTCTTGGACCCTTAATTTCTATGGCATTAGATCATTTCTAGACTATGGGCTATTATTGGACATTAGGCCTTCTTGGATTGGGCCCATAATGGGCTTTGGGTGTCATTTAGTTTTTTTGGCTATATTGGGCTGTTGGAGCTTTTGGGTTGGGACTTGGTTATTAGGCCAAGTGAGGAAAGGGTAAAATGGTATTTTACCCAGGGAGTTGGACAGATGAATGAGATTCATAGCTTTGGTTTATGGCCCAACTTGTTAATTGGGTTTTATTTGATTGGTTAGCATGGGGATTTTCCGGATCATCAGTCCGAGCTTTTATCTGAGATATTCAACAGCTTGAGGTAAGTTTCCTCACTGTGCTTGGCGGGTCGAAGGCACCAATGTTGGCCCATGATTTATTATGATTAGGATGCTAGTTGTCTGCGTGAATCTTTCATGTATGTTATGTGATTTGTATACCAGGCGGGGCCCGATGCCAGGTGGGCCCTGATAAGTGTATTGTATATTATTTATCTTTGATTCTTGCATGTGTTTATGTGTATGTATGTATACCGGGCGGTACCCAATGCCAGGTGGGGCCTGATGAATGCGATGAGGCAGAGCCCATCTCATGCTATTGACATATCTGTTCTGAGTGGGGCTTGATGCCAGGCTGGGCCCATTATATGTATGATATGTATGGTATGTGGTGTTTTAGGGAACTCACTAAGCTTCGCGCTTACGGTTTTCAGTTTATGTTTTAGTTATTTCCGAAACAAAGGGGAAGAGCTTGGGGTGATTGCATCGCACACACCATATTGTTCCGCATTTTATTTGACTATTTGGATGTTTTGGTCATACTCTAATTCTATTATGGTTTTATGAACACATTTGAATGATGGTTTTATTATTCTGAAAATTGAAAGTTTTGGTCTTAATTTTTGAGACGTTACAAGTTGGTATCATAGCCTTGGTTTGAGGGATTCAGGCACACTCGCGGGTGTGTGTGAACTCAAGATGAGGATTTGGTAATTTTTTATAAAAGGAATGTTTTATAAAAATAATTTTCTAACAAAAGAAAGGGATGTGGTGCATTCAATCGACCGAGCTCAAGTACGTTTTCCCAAAATACCCTTACATGTTTTATGATATGCTTGATCTGTGAATATGTGAATCACATGCTAGTTTAGGGCAAAGGATCTAGGAGAGATGCCTTTGTATGCCTGCTATATGAGCTTGTAGACTTGCATGCTAGTACTGATCAGTCACTGATAGGATGGTTTGTTTAGGTTATGCTTGTTTCCGATTACTCGATGCTCGAATGCTGCTTGCTTTTTGCTTTTAGGAGTTCCCATTAACTCTAGCTAACTAGTAAGCGAATATGCTAAATTATATAATTATTGA